TAGTGGAAAAAGAAAGAACAAGAACCACTGATTGGAAGCTGAAGCCAGGCAAACTCAAGCTGAAAATAAGAAGTGGGATTGTTAACAGCGCGGATGTTTAACCGCTGGAACAGACTCCCCGGGAAGTGGCGGCTTCTCCATCCCTCCAAGCCCTCACAACCACAATCACTACTTTTCTGGAAGACATTTTTGCCAAAAACAAGCCATCAGGCTCAACAGAGGGATAAAAAAGTGAAGCTCTCTGTCCCGTGGTGTACGGGAAGGCAGACCAGCCAGCCCTTATCTCCATACCGGTTGCTTGGACTGTGGAAAAACACAGATTAAGGTGCAGGAATGGAGCAATCTATAACAGGCTGTTGAAACTCGAGCGTGCCTGAGGGACGGAGGAAGAGCTTGGGCAGCTTCAGAAGAGGGAAGAAGCAAGAGGAAGAGGAGGAGGGCGGGCAGCAGCCAGCTGATGCTGCTGGTGACACAGGGACACAGAGCCATACCCTAGCAGCCCCAGCCAGAGGAGGCTCTGCACCCCGGGGCCGGCACCCTGCTCATTTGAAGTTTGTCTGCCTTTGCTGGTTACAGCCCCCAGGAGACTGAAGGGCTACGGCTCTGTTACTCCTTTTCTGGTTATGGCAACGTCTTCTCACATGTGGTAAACGTGGATTTGAACAAACTCAGGCGGGCTGTAAAGCTGTTTTGCTGCCTCCAGGAGAGAGCATGGGGATATGCTCCTGCACCCTTCCTAATGGCTTTGGAGACGGGAAAGTCTGTCTGAAAGTCTGCCTAATCAGTCTTGTTTCCAAAAGCTGAAGTCTCTGAAAGCTCCTGCAATGAATTAAAATGTGCAAAGAGATCAAGTGGGACCCTCTGGGCTTTCCCCATCTAGTGGAAAGCTCGTGGGTCTTCGCTGGCCCCATGGTGCTCAGATGTGGCTGGCCTGAGCTCTGCACATCAGCTCACTTGAGACAAGCGCCCTTCCTGCCCATAAATCAGGGGTCCTGGCCAGGAGACCTCCTGAGGTGCAGGACGGCTCTGCCTTCAGGTGCTCCTCGCTTGCAGCACCGAGGGCTGCAGTGGCAGCACTGCTTAATGGGTTTGCAAAGTAATTAAAGCAAGAAAGCTCCCTCAATTCCCAGGGGACTAATAGCGGACCAGATTCCTGTCTGTTATTCCTCCTCTACTGCTACAGCTGTATTGCTGGCTCAGCCCTCACAACAGGAGCCCTCCGTGACTCCAAAAGCCAAATCCTTTCTGCAGTTGCACTGGTCAGAGCCGTGCATCTCCCTGGGAGTCGCCGGGGCTGCCTCCGACGGGATGCCCAGCACCATGCTGCAAGGCGGGCACTCATCTTTGCAAGGGTCATATGGGTGCTGTCAGCCTGGGGTCATGCTTGCACAGGGTTTGCCATATGGGAAGGGGTGCCAGCCGCTGCCAGGGGTCTGGGGAGAGGTCACTGATCAGTGGCAAAAACGGAACAACCACCCCGGTTGCAGCCAAGCTGGGTTTCAAGAGCAACTGTTTCTCAAGCTGGTCACCATTTGAACAGGAGCCAGTAGCTGCAGGTGCCGAGCAGCCCTAGTGTGATTTTAACTGGGGGTTCACTCATGCCTGTGGTAGGAGGAGCCCCAGAGCACCAGGCCAGCTGAGGGACGTGCCTGCACCCGGCGGTTTGATCCCGTCATGCAAGGTGTGTGTGTAATTCATCATACAAATGCTCGGTGTCACCAGCTCCTGGTAATTTATTGCAAGTAACATGATTTGGCCCCCACCACAAGTGGGCTTACGATGACGCGAAAAGCTGCAGCTGTCTTCAGTGCTTCTCTGTAGTAAGCTGAAGACCTCAAGTGCCTCGAGACCGGTGCTGACGACTCCTTTTCCAGCCCTGGGTCGTTTTTCTGGCCCTCCTTTGAACTCTCTTTGGTATTTCCACATCCTTCTCAAAAATGGAGACTTTGGAGCTAGCCTTGCCAGCAAGGCAAGGTAAAATCACTGCTCTCCCCTTGCCTCCTGCAGATACTGGAGGGACAGGTCAGCCCCCACGCTGCCCTGGGGGCATTGCCTGCACCGAAATACTTTACGCTCAGCCATGGTCATCTCATGCTTTGCAGAACAGCTCACCCTGCATCACTGCTGACTGCCTTACCCGTCTTGTGGCATCTGCACGGTTTTTCTCAGAAAAGCTGTGTACCCTTAGCTGGATCAGAAGCTCACAAAATGTGGCCAATGCTTCCCAGAGAGACAAGCATCTTTCCTTGTGCCCAGCCCGGGAGATGCTGCACCCTCGCTGCTACTGAATGGCACAGCTCTGCCTGTGAGCCGCCACGGTGGCAGCCTGGGGCTCAGCTTCCCCAGCTCTGCAGGGGAGCAGGGTTTGTCAGGGCACCCTTGGGAAGAGTGTACGCCGAGACAAGAGATTTGGCAGCACCTGGGGCAGGTTGCAGAGCTGGGCAGCTCCCACATTGCAAGCCTTGCTGCTGCTATGCCTCAAGAGTGGAGGGACACTGGTGTCAAAGCAGCAAACCCCCGGGGACCACCCTGCCCGGAGGGGTGAGTGCTCAGCCAGAGGCTGGAGCTGCTGGTGCCACCTCCCCATCACGACAAGGCCATCACAAGACCCCTGCAAAACAGCTCTTGAGACCCATATGGAAATTTCGAGGGCAGCCATGAAGTCTCTGACCTCTATCACTCCCACAACTTGTGGGCAAAAGCAGCATCTCATCGGTGGAAATACGGAGAGGTGGCAAGAAACACCAAAGGGGCTGCTAGAAAGACCTAAGAGCCTGAGCTGACAGGTAGCTTGGAGCACTGAACTCATTTATTTTTAACTCACAACTGTGGGGCTAAACACTGCAATCTGTGCTCACCTTTGGCCTCACCATAAACTCAAGTAATTACTCATCTAATGACGCCTGCTAATCAGCGTGGCTTGCCAGGGAGCCGGCAGTGTGCTGGGCACTGCATCTCCTGCCTGCTGTGAGCCCAAGCTGGGTGGGCTGGCACAGCTTCCCGCAGCAGGGGAAGGCTGGCACATCCCCTGCAGCACGGTGCAGGCAGGGATGTCCCCAAGGTGTGGGGCAGCACCGCCAGCCAGCGGGGACGGGAACGGTGGCACGCACCACAGGGACAGCACACGTCTGCCATATTGAGCAACTGCAGCTCATCCTCCCTGGGAGCTTCAGCCTCGTGGGCTGAGCCTCCTCGGGGTGCACGAGCATCTCCCTTCACCCTCGTGTCTCCTCCAGGGCCTGGGGTTTGCAGGGGAAGCAGTTACCAGGCTGGTGTGGCACAAAGCCCTGTGGTTTTGGCTGGGAGCAGCGAGAAGAGAGCAGGAGGTGGCTTTTCCTCCAGCACTGTGGCGAAAGCTTACCCAGAAAGTGGAAGTGGGTTTGGATCTCCCTTTGCCAGGCCAGCCCAGCACTACTGGAACTGGTCAGCTTCTGCTGAGCTGGGCTGCAGAGAGGCTGGGGACCGGCAGTCCTTTCTGGCTGGTGGATATTTGCCTCATGCCAGTTGCTGCTGCAGCATTGCTCTGTGTTTCATCTGCTGGCCTCTTCATCCAAAATGCATGTTAATCGGGGGCTGTGTGAGGGCTTCTCACCCACAGGATGGATACCTGTACCTGTGTGAGGGGTCTGCGCTTCCACCTGCCCATCCTGCCCTCTAGCCTGGGGCCCTGAGGACCCCATTCCTCCCTTCCATGCCCCTCTGGGGTGGCAGACCCATTCCTGGCACTGTCCTGACCACGCAGGGCTTTCCTCATGCCTCCCCAGGCAGTATGCTTGACCAGTGCTCCTTTCCACATCAGCAGCAAGTCCTCTTCACTGTGAGGGTCAGATGCTGCCAGGCAGAGCAGTCCCTAGTGCCAGCGTGACCATTGCTGCCGGGTGTCTGACACTGTGAACAGGCTGGGGGGATCATTCCAATTGCCCTGGGGCATACGGTCCCCCTGGGGCAGCCAGTCTGGGTTGCACAGAGGGTGTTTATCCAGAGTGCTCATTTGTGCAAGGGTGCCCTAGCACACAGGCAGTGCCCAGTGCACCCACAGGCAGCACCCAGAGAAGCAGCGCGAGAGGCTCCATCTCCCTGGCATCACCCAGAGTGCCTGGAGCAGTGGTGGGGCCAGAGCCCCATCCTGCAGAACGGCAGGCAAGCGCCTGAGACTGCCCTTTCCCTTCCCACAACCCTGCTTCATTTACTGCACACCTCCCAGCTTCTGCAGCGGATGAGGGGGGGCCCTGCCGGCCGCAGCCTCCATCACCGCACAGCCTCGCCTCCCTCCCCGGGGCTTGGGGCCCATCCTGTGTGCCGAGCGAGGCCATACCCTGCGGGAAAAAGTAGTATGTGGTGACGTAATTAAAGGCTGCATCATTAACGCATGTGTGCAGGGGCTGAATGTTTCCTACTTCTTGAGTGCTTGGCTTCCCCATGCTATGTTCATGGGTGCTTAACTCCACAAGAGGCTTTAAAATGGGAGAAATACCTCCGGGGAGCGGTGCACCCTCAGCAGGCAGCAAAGCCAGCGTGCCACAAATGGAGACGGAGAGCACGGGAGAGCTCTGGTGCGGTCCAGCCCCATGTATGGAGCAGGGTGGAGGGCGACCTGCCTGCTCCAGGGACATCGCTGTCCCGCATGCCTCAGCTGGAACTGGTGCACAGGTCCATGGCATGGCTACGTGCAGGTCCATGGGAACGTGCAAGCGCGTCCGTGCTGCTCCCCATGCTCAGCAGGCCAGCCAAAAGCCGAGCTCCTTTAGAGGGTATTGGTGTTTCTCAGCACGGGCAGAGCAACATATTTTTCCCTCAGTCTCTTTCCTGGAAACAGTGCTGCCATTTTGGCTTGGACTGCACAAAAAAAGCTCACCCCGAGGCAGACATCTGGCATGCAACATTTTCACCCAACAGCCAAAATTTTGCTAGGCTGTAAGCAGGGAAGCCAGCCTCTCCTGCCCGCTCCCGCTGTGAGGTGGGGGACCACTGTGCTGCTGACTGTCCCCTCTGCCCCCCAGGACTACTGGCTGTCCCTGCTCTACAAGCGCCTCATCGGTCCCAAAGTCCTGGCGATCCACGTGGCCGGTCTCCAGAGGAAACCCCGGCCTGGCAGAGTCATTCGTGACAAGCTCCGCATTTACGCCCACTGCACCAGCTACCACAAGTAAGCTGAGCAAGGGAGGCTGGGGGCTGCAGGGGGGGATAAGTGGGACCCCCAGGAGATGGGGACCACCGAGGACATGCTGGGGCAGGAGCCCAGGGTTTGGCTCCAGCAAGGCAGGTCGGCTTCCCAGGGGACACACCTGGGTGCTGCTCTGGCTGCTGTGGCGGTGGAGGGAGCACACGGGAATGGCGATGCCTCCGATGAAAGTCACGGCAAGCCCGTGCCTGGGAACGGGGCTGGCCTGGGCCGGTGCGGTGGCCAGCGGCAGGGCCCGGCGCCGGGGAGAAGGGGGGGGGATAAGTGGGACCCCCAGGAGATGGGGACCACCGAGGACATGCTGGGGCAGGAGCCCAGGGTTTGGCTCCAGCAAGAGGTCCGCTGTTCCCAGGGGACACACCTGGGTGCTGCTCTGGCTGCTGTGGCGGTGGAGGGAGCACACGGGAATGGCGATGCCTCCGATGAAACACGGCAAGCCCGTGCCGGGGAACGGGGCTGGCCGGGGCGGGTGCGGTGGCCAGCGGCAGCCCCGGCAGCAGAGATCAAGGGAGTGGATTTCACATGGGGGGCCCCTGGTCGCTCGGGTTACCCGCAGGGCTGCGCTGCCGGGGAGCCCGTCCTGGTTATTGTTTCGCTGATAAGGTCTTTGAAAGCACCCCAGTGAGCCGGGGCGGGGGCAGCCTCCTCCGCAGACACAAGTTCCTATTGTGGAGGAGGAGAGGTTGTTTCTTTACACAGTCCAGATGCTTTCAACATGCCTCCAGCTCGGTAGGAAACCTTGTCCAGTAACTGACAGGTGCAAAGTGCTTTATAGCCTTTGTCTGGGGCTGCCTGATTAGGCAGGGACAGAGGATCAGTGTCTGGACCTGTCAGTTAGGTACCTGGGGCGGCAGGGGCAGACGCCACTCATGCACAGAGCTCCCCTCCGTTCTCAGCCTCCTCCTTGCGAGGCCCTGGGGGGGCTGCCCCGGGACCGCCACCCCCGCTCTGGACACCGGCACGGCACCCCATCGAGCCATGCCACCCCTGGCTGAGGAGGGGAGGGGGAGACTGGGAAGATGTCATTGCAGAGCAGGGCTGTGTGATAGGAAGGTGGCATCTCCCTGTGGAGGGGCAGCTGGGACGGTGATGTCCCCTCCGGATGGCTGCACGCAGCTGTATCTTGCAGAGTCCCCCAAACCCCTTCTTGGAGGTGATGCTGTCGGGGCATGTGCCAAGGCGCCCCTCAGCTCCCGCTCTCCCCTTTGCAGCCACAACTACGTCCGGGGGTCCATCACGCTTTACATCATCAACCTGCATCGCTCCCGGAAGAAAATCAAGCTGGCGGGGACGCTGCGGGATAAGATCGTCCACCAGTACCTGCTGCAGCCCTATGGCAAGGACGGGCTCCACTCCAAGTAAGTGCGGTGCTGGCGGCTGGGGCTGCCACTGCCACCATGTCCTCGATGCCACCGCCCTGACCCTCTCCTGGTCCCGCAGGTCGGTCCAGCTCAACGGGCAGCCGCTGGCCATGGTGGACGACGGGACCCTCCCTGAGCTAAAGCCTCGTCCACTGCGGGCCGGCCGCACCCTGGTCATCCCCCCGCTGACCATGAGCTTCTACGTGGTGAAGAACGTGAACGCGCTGGCCTGCCGGTACCGATAGCCCGCAGCCCAGAATGGACCCACCGGCCCTGCTCCTGCCCCCTGCGCACTCCCCAGGACACGCTGCCTCCTCGGCAGCCCGCACAGCCTCGCAGCAGGGCCACGTCGGGCAGGCACCGCGCCATGCCCTCGTCCTCGCACCATGGACGCCCTCCGGCTTGGCACCCTCTCCTGCCCTGCGACTGCCAAGCTCCGCTTGGCCCTGGCCACCATCCCACCGGAGCGGTGCAACGGCAAATTTGCAGGGCCTACAAGCTGCGAGGAGCACCCGGGGGGTCCGGTGCCCACCGTCTGCTGGGGAGGGCTGGGATGCTGAGCCCTGGTAGAGCCCGGGGCGGGCACCCTCCCCGGCCCCCCCAGTCCCGCTGCCCCTCAGGGTGACCCCTCCAGCAGCCGGGTCCCCCTTTCCTCCGCACCCTCCCGGGCGGCGGGGCCGCGGGCAGCGCTGCCGGTGCCGCAAGCG